TTGTTATCGCTACTCCTCCGAAACCATAAACCGTAGAGGTATAAAACCTTCAACAATGTCTGCGACTAATTAAGTTCACTTCTCATTCTATTGATGCGAAAGAATTCGTAAACATTTAAAGTAGTTATTGCCCCTGGCAGTTTATGATGTTTACAAAGAACTAAAAACTTCTTAACGACAAGTCGTAAAGACATGGGCCCAACTGCATGAGATCTTCGGACCTTTGACCTTGAATATAAGGTCAAGGTCAAAGGTCAAGGTCATTGGGAAAGTATCAAAATTGCTTATTTATGGTCTTTTGGTTAAAATGACATTGACCTTGATATTTGACCTTGACCTTTGACCTTGACCTTGACCTTTTCTCAAAAGTTTAAAAAGATATATTTATTTTCTTTACCTAGATTCAGCTTCAAGTGTAAAACTCAAGTTTATAAAAGTGTTGTTTTTTTGTTTTTTTGACCTTGACCTTTTACCTTGATAAATGACCTTGACCTTTGACCCAAAGGTCACATTCAAGCTTAAGTATGTGGAGGTATTTATAATTCTCACGTCAACAAACACTTATATAATACCCCCCCCCCCCCCTGATTTCTCTAAAAAAAAAAAAATCAATAGCGGCATAGAAAATTTTTCTACAACTCAAAGGACATAAAAGATCAAGATAAAATTCAGTTTAGCATGTAGAAGACACCTCAAAGAAAGTGCCCTGAGAGTTTTACGGTGAGTCTCTTAAATACAATTAAATTCTAGTGAATATCGGCGAAATCTGCATTTTTTTCTGTCTAAAATTTAATTGTTTCTGAGTATAAAAAATAATTTAAGCTTGTATTGGTCATTTCTTCGATTGTTGTTAATATCACTCGATTCTCCTGCTCCAATACGATATTTCGATACTAAATATTCTTGCTTTCTTTAGTATGTGGAATTTATTTCAATTTTATTTAGATTTAATATTAATGAAATGAATCTCGAAAATAGCGATTTTTCCTGTCAAATAAATTTCCACGCTCTGAATGACACGGTTTTTTTTTTCCCTGAGATGCATGTTTCAAGTTTAATTTATGCTGGTAACTATGAATTCAATTCAAATAGAAATGATTATCAAATCATACCTATGAGTTTACCATATCTGTCAAAACGAACGCGGCCTTTTTCAAATACATAAATTGCTACGCAACCTCAAATGCATGTATCCCCGTTAATAGCAATATCATAATTGTAATCAGACAATATCCCTTACATATTAACTCGAAAACAATCTCATTCCAACTCACATATACAACCAGGAGCTTGTCAGAAGTTTATTAACTGGATCTCTTTGACTAGTCAATGAATCAAGGAAATTCCGGTAACTTTAACTCGACTATAATACAAGATAATTTCAACAGAACTCGTGGGGTAGTGGTTAGAGCGCTCGCCTGCTAATCAGAGGGTCAAGGGATCGAATCCTGCTGGAGCACATCATGATTTTTTTTTTTCAATTTTTTTTTTCTTTTTGTGTTTTTCTTCTTTTTTTTTTCAACCCAAATGACACGGAAACACTTAAAAAGCTGGAAAGACCTCTTATTGTTCTTTGAACAATAAGTCTCCTAGTTTTTTATTATTTTTCCGCCGTGTGATTTTGAGTTTCAAGATTTATCGAAAAGATTTTAAGTTCATATGGATGTACTCCGTAAAAGATTTTCGCAGTTGACCCTGCGTGTATGAACTATGACCCCTTTCGGAGTTATTACCCCTTTCGCAAAAAAGCTTGTTATCGCTACTCCCAAAACCATAAACCGTAGAGAAATGAAACCTTCACTAATGTCTTCGACTAATTTAGTAGACACTTCATTGATTCATTGCGAAAGCATTCGTTGACCCCATCAATGAGTTATTGCCCCTGGAAGATTTTGAATTTTACAAATAATTAAAAATTTTCAAAACAAGAAGTCATAGAGACATTAGACCAACTGCATAAGATTCATTGACTTTTGACCTTAAAATTCATATAAAGGTCAAAGGTCAAGGTCATTCCAAAAATGAGAAAATTAGCTCTTTTTGTAACTCTTTTGTCTTTCAACATATACTTAATGTCTATGCATCATTAATATGTACTCTTAAACCTATTTCAAAGATTTCATTCTTGTCCCCTAAGATTAAACCTTTTAAAAGTTATTGCCCCTTGTGCGAAAAACCTTGTTATCGCTACTCCTCCGAAACCGTAGACCCTAGAGACACCAAACCTTCACTAATGTCTTAAGGGTCTTTAGTCCTAACTTCACTTATAAGTGCAAAAGAATCTGATGACCCCTTATATGAGTTATTGCCCTTTAACTTCTTTATACTTAATATTAAACCTTATATCTTGAAAACTATAAATGGTAGAAGCATCTGGTCAATTGCATTGTGACCCTTGACCTTTGACCTTGAATATTTTGTCAAGGTCAAAGGTTAAGGTCATTTCAAAAATAAGAAATTAAGCTCTTTTTATATCTCTTTTGTCTTTTAACATATGCAATCATTCTTTACATCATTAATATGTACTCTTAAAATTATTTCAAAGATTTCATTCTTGTTCCCCAAGATTGACCCTATCAAAAGTTTTAGCCCCTTATGCAAAAAACATTGTTATCACTACTACTTCAAAACCGTAGATCGTAGAGGCATGAAACCTTCACTAATGTCTTAAGGGTCTTAGGGCACACCTTCATTGTATAAGTACTAAAGGATTTAATGACCCCTTATATGAGTTATTGCCCTTTAACTTCTTTGCCCTTAATATTTAAACTTATAACTATAGAACTAAAAGTCGTAGAAGCATGGGGTCACTTGCATTGTGACCCATGACCTTTGACCTTGAAGATCTGATCAAGGTCAAAGGTCATGGTCATTTCAAAATTTTTTTTTTAAATTTTCATTTCCTTTTGTAAGCCATCCCCCTTAAAATTAAATTAGAGAGTGATATATAAAGCTATAAGAAATTTAAAAAGGTGGAAAGACCTCTTATTGTTCTGTGAACAATAAGTCTCCTAGTTTAGTTTGATTTTTCTCCGTTTTTTGCATATCCTTCAAGTGTGGTCATCCTTCGTTAAAAATGATCTGAAAATACCGGGACTGGTGTGCAAGTTTATATAAAATTATATGTATTTCTTCTACAAATACATGTATTTAAAGAAATAATACTTCAAAGATTTTTCTCAGGGATGGAGAAATAGACAGAGTGACTCTGAAGTTCGTTTGCTTGGGATCAATAACCATGTACGAGGGATGATAAAAAATAGTTAGCGAACTATCTTTACATGTATATTTACAAAACCACATTTCAAATCAGAATGAAATTTGGCACACATAGATTCATATACATGTGCCAATTAATTGGATTGTTTTAGTGATTGAATGGAGATGTCTAAAATTATGTTTGTGTAAAACTTATGTCTGTGCTGTTGCCCAGTGAAATCAAGATGAGGACAAGATGTTTCCTTCGTTAAGCAATTTGATAGAAAAGATCGCCTTAAACGAAAAACAGGTGAAAATCTTAACAATAATATATTTATTTAGCCCATTAAATATCGTTTACTTTGGACTGTAAACGTATCAGATATGATAAAAAAAAGAGGTATCCATATGATAAAAAAGAGACAGCCATTCTTTATCCACATTGAATAAATGATGCTCCCAAGACAGAGGAATCGGGCTTTGGTGGTCAAATATGCTCATTCTGAAAAGGATATCATTATCCACCTTTACCGTTGCCCAGATTTTGCCGTTTCAGACAAATGGATTGTTTTTTGTTATTAAAATCTTGCATGGTAAGAAATATGAGAGTCGGAAAAATCTTTTAGCTTATAAGCGGAACGCTACAGAGCGTGCCACGTGACCGCCTGGATCCATTTATTCGCGCATGGGCAGAACAGTTGTCGATGTGCGTTAAAATTGGAGAGGTCTACTTTTAAAATGTTTTCAACATTGAGACCCTATATCATTTCTATTATGGAAGTTATTCAATTAGTTCGCAAACTTTTTGATACCCCGTCATACATGTTATTACAGTAAATCACATTCCTTAATTTTGATCTTTTTTAAACGTCTCTACGCTGGCTGATATAGATATATCAGCTACTTAAATCACTAGACCTAGTAACAGAGAAACATTTAGAATGAAACAAGGAAGCAAATAGTAGTATACGGGAGAATCAGGGCAATTACATGTATGTTGGAGTTAGAGGTGAGACAAGATTTATTTACGATTTAAAGTATTATAGGACCTTATTATCAGATGCCATTAATGATCTCAAGTCTGGCATTAAAAGAAATTAACTGAAATTCATGACAGGGCCCCTTTAATTAGATCATACTGATTACAGAAATTGTTTTGACTGTAATGTTATTACAAAAACATCCTTTCTGTTCTTTCTAAACCATGTTTGGCTTATTTCACAAACAAAAAAAACACCTTTATATTTGTTTTAAATTGTATAAAATTTCTGTAGTCAATGACCCATGTCTCCGTTTAATTTATACAGGGTAATCTAATTTTATTTCACAAAACCCCGTTATGGACCCCAAAGACAGAGCTTAGGTATATACTCCTTCTCTTTGACATGTGCCAAAAAGCTCTTTTACGGAGTCATTGTGAAGTTTGCCATGTCAATTCTTTATAGTCTTTGTTGAAAAACATCTAGCTTTCTGATTCATCCAGAACCATACAAACACAGAACTCTAACCCCTTACTACTTAAAATGATACTTAAATCATGTGATTTAAGACTCTTTTTTTCTTTTAATTACAGGGTCAACTAATCATTTGATCAAAACCCTTTTAATGTATCCCCTGGACAGAGCTCAAGTACTCCTCCTTTGTGATCTGTGTCATAGAGCTGCATTACAGAGTCATTGTGAACTTTGTCAGATTAACTTATGTAAGGCCTGTGTAGGGGAGCATCTCTCTGATTCATCCCTAATACACAATGTTGTTTCATACAAACACAGAACTTCTACTCCTAACGTTAACAACCCAAAATGTCCAAACCACACCCAGAAACATTGTGAACTTTACTGTGAGAAATGTGATATTTGCTTCTGTTCTACCTGCATCTCCTCTGATAAACATCATGGGCATAAAATAACAGATATATTACAGAAACCAAGCTTCAGTAGAGAAATTTTAAACATGGATTTGAAAAAAAAAGAATACAACCAACTTATGAAGAAATTGCATCAGATTTAAACTCGGAAAAAGTCAACGTGGAAAGACATTACAAGAAACTGGCAACAGCTGTCACCGAACAAGGAAAATACTGTCACAGAGAAATTAACATCACTGTCAACAAACAGAAATCTGAAATTGAAGAGATGAAAACTAAACACCTGGCTGCTCTTTATAAACATGAAAATGAAATCAAACAGATAACTTCTGATATCAAACAGAGTATTCTTGACTTGAAGAAAATACTGGACTCAAAAGATGTCTCCCTAATCTCCGTGTACAAATCCATGAATACAGAATTTAGACGATTACCTGCTAAACTCAATGTTTCGTTACCAAGTTTTTCGCCTCATCAGATCAACACAGAACAGCTCCATCAAAAGTTTGGTTCTCTGTCAGCATTATCTATTTCAACAGAAGAACATGGCTACACAATGAAAGCACCAGAAGCTATAACCTTGTACTCCAGTCAAACCACTGCTTGATGAACCAGAGCTCATCAACACCTTAGGCACTGGGTATACACCGCTATATAGTGTTAGCTGCCTCAGAGATGAAGAAATCTGGACAATTCATGTGGTTATGACAAAATAATGAAACTATACAACCTCCAGGGCAAACTACTTAAGTCAATCCAAACCAAGTCCGGGAACATGCCATATGACATAGCAGTGACAAGGAGTGGACAGCTGGCCCTGGTTCAAGAACTGTAAACATAGTGAAGATTGACCAGATACAGGAAGTGATCAGGCTACAGGGGTGGAGACCTTACAATGTCTGTAGTACCTCCTCTGGTGACCTCCGGATTATGATGGACAGTGATAATGATAAACAATCAAAAGTCGTCCGTTACTCAGGTTTCACAGAGAAACAATCCATTCAGTTTGATAGTGAAGGTAAACCTCTGTATTCATCTCACCTCCTTAAATATATCAGCGAGAACAGGAATCTGGATATCTGTGTGGCTGACAGTGGTGCCAAAGTAGTAGTGGTGGTTAATCAGATACACTGGTCATCCTTCTACTGACAAGGGATCATTTGGTCCATGGAGCATCACAACAGCCAGCCAAAGTCAAATCATCCTGACCGCAGACAGTGACAACCACTGTATCCACATCCTAGACCAGGATGGACAGTTCCTCCGTTACATTGATAACTGTGATCTACAGCGTCCGGTTTTATGTGTAGACACAAGAGATAACCTCTTTGTCAAAGGCGTTTATGCATAAAATTATCACCCAAGCCAATCGATTGATCATTGTCATAAAATTGAAAAATAAGACAGTCATTCCTTATATTTACATGCTTTAATTCCGCCAATCCACGTGCTCCAAGCCCTGCTTCTGTGTAGCTGTTTGTCCCGCCCTGCACGTGTTTTTTTTTTTTTTTTTTTTTGAACCGCGCCAATACATTGATGGGGAATAAAAGTACATTTACAACATGTACAATTTGTAATTTTGTCTCAAACAGAGACATTTGAAATGTAAATATTTGTATGTAAACATCGAACATGTTTTATAATTAAATTTCAGTCTGAAATCTATGTTATTACCGGGTATATTTAATATCTTAGGACTAATTAAAAACAATACCAAACGTAAGGAATAATTTGTATTTTAAGTGTTACTAGACTGCTAAAAGTCAATCAGAATAGGTCAGTGTAAAAGTTATGATATGCAAAAAGAAAGTTATAATAAATAAAATTGCTTGGCCGAAAAATTAAGGGGTTGTATGTGCATGCACACGTTATTTGCAACTCAGGGGAACATGCGTATTGCATCATGACTGCCAATCAAAGCCGGGGCGAAAATATGTGCGTATACTTTTCAGGATGAAATCAATCATCAACACTAAAAACGGGTTAAATTTAATCCCATGTATTTTTCTGGGGTTTTTTTATTATAATTATTATTATTATTATTTGGTTAATATTTATTTAAATTTCGTGTAATTGTCTCGTTTTTTTTTTCTGGCCAATAAATTGTGAAATACAATTTCACATTTCAACCATCCCCCCCCCTTAACTTCCTCAGTATCGGGATGTTTTTTTTTCTTTACCGTTTTCGAATAAAATGATCAAAGAACAAGGTTCACTTTTGCCTTATTTGGCCCTGTGAATTTCAAAACTGAAACTAGGTAGTTTTTGTTAACAATGCATTGAATATCACTTAGATCTTTGATTACTGCGTATCTATCAATAATGACGTAATTTTCTGGCTAGTCAATGCATTATGACGTCACGAAGTGCGTCAATTTCCTTATATTCTGAAAAATCTACAAAAACAGCCAATTTTTAAAGATATTTTTCGATATTTCATATAGAGCGCAACCTCTGATCTAAAATATGCTACTGGTAAATGATAGAACTGTTTCTGAGGATTAAAAGACATGTTTCATTTTTTAGATCAGAGAGTGCGCTCATATTATTTTTGTTCACTGAAAGTACTCATTTATACCTGTTTACCTACAAATTCAAGAACATTGCAATAGGATATGAAAACATGAAGTTTCTATTTTATTAAAATGCTTTAAATGAACAATCAAGTGCTTATCAATCAATTGGTATATCTACAGGCCATTTTATGCATAAAGTGAACCGACTTCTTTAAAATTTAAATTTAAATTTTTTGTCTGGAATCATATTGACCTTGAATTTCCTGAAAATATAGGCACTAATACTTTATTATCTCCTTGTTGTCGCTGCATGTTAATTCTCATGCACGAGGAATGTTTATACCGTTCATTTTGACTTTGTGTTCAGAATATGATTTTCACAGTACTAGTGAAAATAAGTTGCTGGTCATCCTAATATGTCACCGAAATAAGTTAAATTAAATGATGAATAAGATAAGATTTTGCACCTATGTTACCTTTTAGATCTTGCATACTCCAAATGTCAAGATATGTATACTCGTACTGTGAACGTGACTACGTTCAACAAATGACGTTTTATAGACATAAATAACGCCAGAAAAGCAACATTTTAGCAATATAAAAGCAAACCTTGGAATTATTTAGCAAAAACTCTAGCAAGAAGACATAATGATTTTTTATATCAATAGTTTTGCTTTCACCTCATCTTGATATTTTGAAACTCCTGACTAATTCGTCTACGTCTTTAAAAAGTTATCCAACCTTTTGAAAGGAAACTATTTTCAAAAAAATAGCTTTAAAACGTCATTTTTCTATATATTTCCATAGAAAAGCGTAAAAAAGTACAAACAACTATACCGCGTTTACAGTAATATAGCATTAAAACTACGTAGAAAATTTAATAAAAATTGAAGATAATACGCTGTAAATTCTAAAGAACATTATCTGATATTTTCACGATATGTTTTGTCGTAAGAATTTTTATGGAGTAAACCCGCGACCTACCTTAAATAATAATGTTGCCATGATAAAGAGAAAAATACATGAAATCAATACTTATACATCCGTCCGTCCGTCTGTCCGTCCCTGTGTTCGTACGTCTGTAAACTTTTCATATTTAAAGTTCTTCTAAAGAACCACTGTTCAATTTTAGCAAGACATTGTACAAAGCACCCTTGGGTTAAGGGGAATTTAAATTGTATAGATAAAGGTCCAAGTCTCCTTACAATAGGAGATAATCAAGAAAAGACTAAGATGGGATGGGGTCTTTAAAAAATCTTCTTCTCAAGAACCACTGGGCCAGAATAGCTGAAACTAATGTGGAAGCATCCTGGGTAGTGTAGATTCCAAATTGTTCAAATCATGAACCCCTTGGGTAGGGCGGACCAACAATAGAGAATCCAATTTTTACATTGATATGCGAGATACAAGATTCAAGATGTTTTATTTATCAATCAAGGGCCCAGAGAGGCATTTTAAGATACATCAATGCACATTTTCAACATCCCCCTTTTTATATGATACAATTCTTTTAGTTTTATAAAGTTAAATAAATGACCAAGTTACACTGTGTTCAGAGTCAATGATCATAGATAATATGTAAGTGTCCAGACAAATGTCAATGATCACAAGACAACAAAAAATGTTATTCTTATAAAATATATTCATACTAGTATTTATCCATTTCGATAGTTTCATGAAACTGAACATATTTTAGATAGAATACTGTAAACCAACTTTTATTCGCGTGCGAGAAATTTTCGCGAAGTTCGCGAGAGCCTCGTCATCGCGAATATTTCTAGCCGCGAACCAGTCCTTATAGTATATTTGTCTATTAAAAACAGATGCAAAAATGCTTGATCGCGAAAATTAATCGTCGCAAACTAGTTTATCCTGGTAAATCGCGAAATAAAGTCGTTGCGAATAAAAGTTGGTTTACAGTAATTGAAAAACTAACCATGCATGCACATGACATTGGTTCTTTCACCATTTTCAGAAATAAAGATTCCAAGTAGCATAAAATTTCTTTATTTTCATTGTATTGGGGGAAAAGTTAAAAATCTTCTCAAGAACTACATGTACTTGGCCAGAAAAGCTGAAACTAATTTGGAATGAAACATATGGAGATAACAAATAATATTTAGTGTCAAATGTTTATACGTGTAAAACAATATAAATAAAATAGGAGCATGCTCTTGCCTATCGAATCAACTGAGAGATATAAACTCTGTATGCAGGTGATGAAGGTATATTGCTGCACAAGTAAGGGAAGCTGACGATTGAAAAGTTAGTCATCACGTTTATCATAGAGTTTTTTTTTTAAACTAATTTAACTTTATTGCTATTCGAAAAAGAGGAAATTATTAATGAATCTGCTTTTTATTTATTTTAGTTATTTAAAATCAGATCATTTGATACGCTCACATATAGATAGCGATCTCAGATTGCTTGGTACATAATGTTTAAGTTTTCTATGTGTGAGCAAGTACTTACTTCACGTTGATGAGAAAGTGTCCATTATTTTCCTTTTATCATTGATTTTTTAAATGAAATGAAAGAGAACTGTATCTACTTAAGGTATACCTTTACTCAGATGACTAAAAAAATCCACTGATAATAACGAAAAACTACCTATTGCACATTGTACACCTATGATTCTTGTGTTAAATTTCAATTTCAAAAAACTAGGTCAATGACCTCGTTTTCATGGTAGGGGCCCCTGAGTATTTCTCTTGAAATACCTCAATTTTTCACACTATGACCATTTTTTTCTTCACTCACAAAATATTACAAGCAACAAAACTCTTTAAATATTGAAATATTATTGCAATGGAACAGAGTCGCTTCATATAAAGAAAAGATTAAAGTTTAGGCCATGAACGTAAAAATTATCACATTCCGAATTTCCTCTGTCATATATATGTATTTTTTCCCCATTTTTAATCGAATATTTAAAAAATCTGACTGATAAGAACTCTAAATTATTTATAGCCCCTTATTACCTTTGTTGCTCTTATTCTCATGGTATAAACATTATATGGGGTCAATGATCAAATTATTGATATAAGTTGCCTGAAATGGTTTTTGTTCATATTTCTGAATTTCTTTATTCAATAGCATTTAATTATTTGAAATAATTTATTAGCTTTAAGACGTATAAAATTTACAAAATAATGTCTGAAAAAACATACAACCTTTACACTTTGATAAATATTGCAAGAAATAAAAGATTTTGACAAAAATGAAAAAATTAAAAATTTAGTCCGAATTTCCTCTGCATTACCACACACTGACAATTTTTCGTGTATATTTTCTTCAAATAATAAAATATGAAATTTTTAAATTAATATTGTGGTAAATCTTAGTAATTTTATCCATTTAAAACAATTTTTGATTTAATATATTAAACTTTATGAGAAATTTCCTTTCTGTTTTCTGAAACCGGAGTAAACGTCATCCTTAAAGGGACATGGACACAGTTTCAGCTAAGTATTTCAAATTCAATTTACGATTTTTAAAATATTCAACTTAGGTCTTTCTAATGATCATCAAAAATTTGAACGTCAGTTGTCGAGATGCAAGCCAGATTTATAACGCCAAACCTTTGTTATGTAAACAGGGTCTATGTCATGTTTTTGTTTACATAGGTTAATA